TCCTCTTTAATAAACCAAAGTTTCTGATTTATTCTGTATTTCTCTATCTATAGTAACAACCTCTGCACAGAGTAAATCAGTGAGTAAAGGCTAAAACTACAGGGAGCACAGTGACTTCTTTATTTTTAAATTTTTATGAGGAAATTAGGCTTCACTGAACGTTCTTCTCTGTCCTAAGGCCACATTTATACTTGGGCAATAAAACAATCAGCAGATTTTCAAATATGCAAAAAAACAAAAATGAAAATATCTGAGAATCTTCAAACCCTAAACCCATGAAACGTTCCTCATCACCCTCTACACTGCAGACTTCAGACACAACACGGACGGTTGTGTTCTACAGAAGTTCTCTGACGACTCTGCCATCATCGGACTCAGCTCCGAGGACGATGACACAGAGGACAGAGGAGTTATACAGGACTTTGTGGACTGGTGTCAGCGGAACCACCTCCTCATCACCGTGAGGAAGACCAAGGAGATGAACCACCTCCTCATCAACGCGGGGAAGACCAAGGAGATGGTGGTGGATTTCCGTAGACGTCACTCTGCCGCTCCAGCTCCAGTGAACATCCAGGGAAAGTACATTGAGAGAGTGGACTCTTACAAGTACCTGGGTTTCATCTGAACCACAAACTGGACTGGACTCATAACACAGACGCCCTCTTCAAGAAGGGCCAGAGCCGGCTCTACCTACTGAGGAGGCTTAGGTCTTTTGGAGTGCAGGGGCCACTCCTGAAGACCTTCTATGACTCTGTGGTGGAGCCTCTTGTACGGTGTGGTCTGCGGGAGCAGCAGCATCACAGAGAGGGACAGGAAGAAGCTGGAACATCAGGAAGTCCAGCTCAAGTCCTGGGCTGTTCCCCGGACACAGTGCAGCAGGTGGGGGACAGGAGGTCAAGGTCAAGGTCAAGGTCAAATTTATTTATAAAGCACATTTACAAAACAGCCATCACTGCCCCAAAGTGCTGTACACAGTACAATGTTACAACACTACAAAAACACAACAATATAACACAATAAGAAAGTAAAAATGAAGGAGGGTCCTGGACAAACTAACATCTATGCTGGACCATGACTGTCGCCCCCTGCAGGACACTCTCTCTGCTCTGGAGAGCAGCTTCAGTGACAGACTAATTCACCCTCGCTGTGTGAGGGAGAGGTTCCGTAGGTCTTTCCTTCCTGCTGCTGTCAGATTGTACAATAAGAACTGCTGAGCCTGTAAATTTCATTCATCTGTAATTAAGTAAATTCTTAAATTATGTGCAATGTGCAATACTGCAACTTCAGAATGTCACAGAACAATGTCACTTTACTTATATACTTTTTATCCTGCACTATTTAACTGTATAGTATACTACATATATATATATATTTTGACTGGTATTGAAGCTTTTTCAGCATCTACAGCTAGTTAAGAAACATAGCTACTACTTATTTGTATATATTGTATATATTGTGTGTGATCCCTGTGTGCTCTTACTACTGTCCTGTCTGTGCGATGCAACAACGACATTTCCCCACTGTGGGACGAATAAAGGAATTCTTATCTTATCTTAAGTCATATTTATTTATTAGGCACATTTTTACAGACCAAGGTCACCCAAAGCCCTGATAATGTTCCATTCTCTCCACACGGTGATGACAGAAGCGAGACATTCAGACTATTGTGCATGTTTTTAGTGGTAGGAGAAACCAGAGCACCTGGAGGAAACCTACGTAGACACAGGGAGAGCATGCAAACCCCACTCAGAAAAGCCCTATTCCAACTGGGCTTCGAACCCATGACCCTCTTGCTGAGAAGCGAGAGGGCTAACCTCTCAGCCACCGTGTTAGGATCAGTCGCAGAGACCTGAGGATGTGATCGTGACTTTTAATTTTTAGTTTCTCTTTGATCCTATGAAGCCATCGAAGGTCAGGATCCGATGGCGGTGAGATATCGGCCCGAACCCCCCCCCCCCCCCACCCCCCCCCCCCGGAACCCCCGCAGGACGACATGTTTGCAGAAGGACAATCCGATACGGTCTCCACAGGCCGTGACACTCGGAGAGAAGAGAAATCCAGTTACTGTAAAAACATGGTCCAGACTCTGGTGAAGGTTGTTAACGTGAAACTCCCAGAACAGTCAAAATGACTGCTCTGGGAGTTTTATGATTGTTTTTTTTATGTCAAACTTATATATTTCTCATTCAGCAGAAAAACAAGTACAGTTTTGTTTTGTTTTTTTTACAACAAAAAATAGAGTTTGAAAAGAGGTTGGACGAAGAAAAGGTGCTTTTTGGGATCCAACTCCTTTGTGTACACACACACACACACACACACACACACACACACACACACACACACACACACACACACACACACCTGATTACAAGGAGTCTTTTTTCAGAGACCTGTCCCTAATCTTTTTACACACTGTAAAAAATGATCATCCATCCATCCATCCATTTTCTTCCCTTTAATCCATTTCTGGGTCAGGGGGGTGGCAGTCAGAGATGCCACCCAAGTCTCATAGCACCAGCCCCTCACTGACCCTCTGCAGGTGGTGAGTCCACAGGAGGACGGCTGCTCTCTGACTGTGAGCATAGCCTTGATCTTTCAGTGGGGGCTTTGGGCAAAGTGGGGTTAAGTGTCTTGCCCAAGGACACAACGACAGCAGTCATCAGTGGGAGTCGGTGGAGAAGGTGTAGAGGTGGGAATTGAACCCACGACCTTCAGGCCTGAAGGCCAATGCTCTACCAACTGAGCTACTGTCGCCCTGATCAAATGATCATATCTGAGGTAATGAACGCTTGAATCCAGTGTTTTCTTCCTTAATCTGACACATTCCCACTGTTTTATACATTTTCATTCCAAGGGAGACAATTCTGTATCATTTTGTTTTGTCCCGTTGGAAAATCTTAGATCTCAGAATGTGCTCAGGATAAGACACATTTTGCCGACTTTGAGCATATTTTGACCTTTTCTCCATCTCTTTTTGCAGTGCACTTCCTGAACCTGAGCCAGACATGAATAAAACAGTGGTGCATGATTCTCGAAGCCTTTGGCACATCCTCAGAATAATACGTGACTTAAGTTTCACTTGACCCGACACAACCACAGTGAACCTGCTGCAGCCAATCAGATCGCAGCACAGAGTCACACGGCTTTTGGAAATATGACGGTTTCTTCTCAGCTGTCACAACATATTACATTACTTGATTTTACAATGATATTGGAATACATTTTTTTTCACAGATTTTAGGAAAGAACCGTCCACTTTTTGAAAATAAACTCTGGTCTTATTGGACGAGCACGTATCACCAGAATGATTGACAATTAGGAGAGGACCAATAGTCTTGATGATCCACCCGGAAGTAGATAATCGTCCCATGAACCTTTAAAATAAACCACTAGGGCAATAAAGGAGAGAGTACACTGCAAAAAGTGATGAAAAATAAGTCAAAAATTGCTCTAATTTGGCAAAATGTGTCTTAATCTGAGCACATTCTGACTCGGCCTTAAAACTAGATTCTTCAACGAGACAAAGCAAAATGATCTTGTTTTAAAAAGATACAGAAATGTCTCCCTTTGGAATGAGAAAATATCTTTGTCCCACTGGAGAATCTTGTTTTAAGTCAGAATGTGTCAGATAAAAACCACTAGATTCACGCCACTAGATTCACGCCTTAATTACTTCATATTTTACTATTTTTTGCAGTGTAGATGAAGTTTATCAGCTGCACATTACGTTACACACAGCTTAAATTTACAAAATGATTGGAATATACAGGAAGTTGCAAATACTTTAGCTTCACTGAAAAGTTTTTTTATTTATTATGTCTTAAAGTCTTGCGGCCTAAAACTTGGGGAAAAAAAGTAAATGAAAATATCTGAAAATCTCCAATCCCTAAAATCATGATTAGTGAGTTAGAAATGCCTATTATTTTGTAAATTGAATGAAAAACTCGGACAATAAAAGAGATAGTCTTGTTCCCTGTTGGCTGAAAACACATTTAACACATTTATAATTACACCTCTTCTCGCAGCAGCAGATCCACACGGTCCTGACAGTAACGTGGCCATAAACATATATTTTACATAAACGGTAAACGCAGCCGTGTCAGAGCGTGGTGTTGTCCCTGGCTGCCATGGCAACAGTCAGACTCTCCATGATAAAGCAGATCAAAGCTTCTCTGTAACCTCCGTCTCTTTGAAGCCCGACGGCCGCACACAGCTGCAGAAAACCTTGATTTCTGTCACATTTGTACAAAACATGAAGGTCTCAGGACGATCCAGGACTCTCCACGTTCGACCACATCTATGGACGTTAGCAATATTTATGGACGTTGGTCTCTACTCCTCAGGGATCAATGTCTGTGTTGACAAATCTACGACATTGCATAGTCCTCCAAGATAACTACTATTGTAATTTAGGGCTAAAGAAATAATTATTATAGCCACACAAATATTTAACCCCCTCCAGGTTGGTGTTGTAGATTTGCAACCACTTCATTTCTTATTTAACTACTCCAGATGTATATTTATGATCCATTTTTACTCCAAAGTACCACTGATGGACTTAGCTGAGCTTCAGTAACACACTTCTCCACTTTCTCTCCAGGGGGCGCAGTTGTCTCACTTCCAAAATGTCAGTCTCCAGGTTTCACCAAAACTGTTTTTCTAAGCATCAATTTCAGTCAGTATCACTTCCAACCTCCAATAATCTGAAACCACAACTTCATCAAACGAAAGATGAATATAAAAAGATACAGAACAAGCCAATCAGTAGATTATATCTCCTCAGCTCTATTTACCACAGTGGGCCAATGTTGCAAATCTGCAACATCCCAGAATACTGTCAGGATTGTATATTACAACCCCATAGGATAATTCTCCCCAAATATCAGCTTTTCACTGTCATTTAAATGTAACTGGTCCCTGAGAGTCTGTCCAGAGAGATAATCTTTGATAGTTGCAGATCTGAGGCTGTAACCTTCTGATGTGAGAGCAGCGGGTCTCACCCTGAGTGTGGCCAATGTTGAGTTGGTTGATCTGCTCCGTAAACTCGTTCTCTTCTATCGTCTCGGTTCGTGGGACTGAGAGGGAGAAGCGCCTCTTGAAGTTCTTCACTTTGTTCATCATGAGCCGAGTCCTGAGTCTGGGAAAAGAGCAGAAGGAAGAGAAAGATGAGAGGATATTTAATACTGTTTATTATAGTAAGAGCAAACAACACATACAGAGGTTACTGTAGCTGTAAATGGTAATAGCAGCAAGCAAATGTCAATACACCGTAATCTCCGGACTTTTAACCATTACTTTTGTCTTGCTCTTTGATCCCTGAGGCTTATATAGCGATGTGGCTAATGTGTGTATTTTTTGAGTTTATGGAATTATTAATTTGATAGTATTTAGTAGCTACAGGACACTGGTTTATCGTCAAAATAGATAGAGTAGTCTCTGCCACATTACAACATGAAAACCTGCGGCTTATATTCAGGTGCAGCCTTTTTCTGAACAACATGGACTTTATACTGAAATGTTTTTGGTGCGTCTTAAAAACAGGTGCGTCTTATGGTCCAGAAAGTACGGTACACTGCCAAAAGTGATAAAATATGAGTAATAATTGCTTGAGTGTTTTTTTTTACAAATCCGACAAATTTTGACTTAAACCAGATTCTCCAACGGAACAAAGTCATTTAGTCTGATTTCATGAACTGTTCCTTTATGTTCTCGTTTCAAAGGAGACATTTCTGTTTCTTTTTAAAGCAACATACATTTACTTTGTCCCGTTGGAGAATCTAGTTTTAAGGTTCAGTCAGAATGTGCTCAACATACAGTATGATACATTTGGCTAAATTTGAGTAATTTCAGATTTAATTCTCATCACTTTTTTCATCCATCCATCCATCTTCTTCCCCTTAATCCATTTCTGGGGGGGGGGGGGGGGCAGTCAGAGCTACACCCAGTTCACAGAGCACCAGCCCCTCACTGATCCTCCTGCAGGGGCTGGGTCCACAGGGGCCTTAGTCTTTCAGCGGGGGCCTCAGGCAAAGTGGGGTTAAGTGTCTTGCCCAAGGACACAACAACAGCAGACATCAGTGGGAGTCGGTGGAGAAGGTCTTGTGGTGGGCCTTGAACCCACAACCTTCTGAGCCACTGTCGATCTCTCCAATTCAATTCATTTCAATTCAATTCATTCTTGTATCGCCCTAAATCCCAACAATAGTTTTCTCAAAGAACTTAACAAAACCGTTGAAATCGCCAACAACAGATCAGAGAATCAAACACAAAAACAGGAAACACATAAATATTGGTCCAGAGATTCCATGACATTTCTTGTATCATTTTAAAACGACCCCATTCTGCTTGTCCCAAAAACTCAAGCCTGGTTCACACGAGACGATTTTAAAATTGTCGGCCGATTTTTCTCCGTGTTAGACCCCACACGGGGAGATTAAAAATCCTGCGTCTAACCACTTTGGTCGTGCAGTGTGTGGTGCGTAGCCACACGGCAAGATCACGCAAGCCACAAACATCACACACGAACCGACACCCCGACCCCCCCCCCCCCCCCCCCCCGAGCATTCCCAGGTCAGACGGAAATCTCACAAAATCTCTCGAGATCAAGCGTGACTTCAGAGTAAACAGTCATGGCGGACGAAGAGGATGCAGTGGCGATAGTGTGCAGTTTGTTGTTAACAGAGAAGACACGTAATCCAAAGAAAAGGCAATGGTCAAAGCCATGCTGCTGTGTTTTGGTTTTTTTCCGGTGTTTCCTTACCGGCTTGTCACCTCGTCTTCTGATTGGCTACACGCTGCAGTCATGGCAACGCGCTCGCTTGTCCTCGGAGGACACCACACACGAAGAGAAATCGGGCCAAAACAATCCAACATGTTCGATATCCCCGATTTGAGATCGGGAGCAGTCCCGATGTCCTTCCGAGCGACGAGTGCAGTCTTAACACACCACACACGGATAATCCGTAAGATTTTGTTACGGAAATCGGAGCGTTTCTTAAGATTGTCGTAAGGGGTAAATCGGGTCTAAATCGGCCTAAATATCCTGCCGTGTGAACCAGGCTTCAGATACATTTTGCCAGATTTTTTTATATTTTTAGAGAGAGAGACCAGAGAGAGAGACCAGAGAGAGAGACCAGAGAGACCAGAGAGAGAGACCAGAGAGAGACCAGAGAGAGAGACCAGAGAGAGACCAGAGAGAGACCAGAGAGAGACCAGAGAGAGACCAGAGAGAGACTAGATTAGAGACCAGAGAGAGAGACCAGATAGAGACCAGAGAGAGACTAGATAGAGACCAGAGAGACCAGAGAGAGACCAGAGAGAGACCAGAGAGAGAGACCAGAGAGAGACCAGAGAGAGACCAGAGAGAGAGACCAGAGAGAGACCAGAGAGAGAGACCAGAGAGAGACCAGAGCGAGAGAGACCAGAGAGAGACCAGAGAGAGAGACCAGAGAGAGACCAGAGAGAGAGACCAGAGAGAGACCAGACAGAGACCAGAGAGAGAGACCAGAGAGAGAGACCAGAGAGACCAGAGAGAGACCAGAGAGAGAGACCAGAGAGAGACCAGAGAGAGACCAGAGAGAGACCAGAGAGAGAGACCAGAGAGAGACCAGAGAGAGACCAGAGAGAGACCAGAGAGAGACCAGAGAGAGACCAGAGAGAGACCAGAGAGAGAGACCAGAGAGAGACCAGAGAGAGACCAGAGAGAGACCAGAGAGAGACTAGAGAGAGACCAGAGAGAGAGACCAGAGAGAGAGACCAGATAGAGACCAGAGAGAGAGACCAGAGAGAGAGACCAGAGAGAGACCAGAGAGAGAGACCAGAGAGAGAGAGAGAGAGAGAGAGACCAGAGAGAGACTAGATAGAGACCAGAGAGAGAGACCAGATAGAGACCAGAGAGAGACCAGAGAGAGACCAGAGAGAGACCAGAGAGAGACCAGAGAGAGACCAGAGAGAGAGACCAGAGAGAGACCAGAGAGAGACCAGAGAGAGACCAGAGAGAGACCAGAGAGAGACCAGAGAGAGACCAGAGAGAGAGACCAGAGAGAGACCAGAGAGAGACTAGATAGAGACCAGAGAGACCAGAGAGAGACCAGAGAGAGACCAGAGAGAGAGACCAGAGAGAGACCAGAGAGAGACCAGAGAGAGAGACCAGAGAGAGACCAGAGCGAGAGAGACCAGAGAGAGACCAGAGAGAGAGACCAGAGAGAGACCAGACAGAGACCAGAGAGAGAGACAGAGAGAGAGACCAGAGAGAGACCAGAGAGAGACCAGAGAGAGAGACCAGAGAGAGACCAGAGAGAGACCAGAGAGAGACCAGAGAGAGACCACAGAGAGACCAGAGAGAGACCAGAGAGAGACCAGAGAGAGACCAGAGAGAGACCAGAGAGAGACCAGAGAGAGAGACCAGAGAGAGAGACCAGAGAGAGACCAGAGAGAGACCAGAGAGAGACCAGAGAGAGACCAGAGAGAGACCAGAGAGAGACCAGAGACAGACCAGAGAGAGAGACCAGAGAGAGAGACCAGAGAGAGACCAGAGCGAGAGAGACCAGAGAGAGACCAGAGAGAGAGACCAGAGAGAGACCAGAGAGAGAGCAGATTTCAACACCACACTACTGATTGTGGCCTAAACTTGTGCAGTTTATCTCAATCTAATCAAAATCACAGTTTTAGTGGCTGCAATTACACTGGAAAAGGTGAAGAAAATAAGAAAAGTTTTGCTCTTTGGGAAAATGTCTTAATTCCAGCTCATTCAGACTGAGCCTAAAAACTAGATTTTCCAATGAGACAAAGCAAAATGATATTGTTTTAAAAAGACAAGAAATGAATCCTTGGAATGAGAAAAATGTTTTGTTCCATTGGCTAATCTAAACTCACTCGATTCTAGATTTGAAAGCATTCTGGGAGTTTATCTGCTAAATCCAGAGAAATTACCAAAATAAAGCCTCGGTCCTGGGTCTACAGCCTCGGTCCTGGGTCTACAGCCTCGGTCCTGGGTCTACAGCCTCGGTCCTGGGTCTACAGCCTCGGTCCTGGGTCTACAGCCTCGGTCCTGGGTCTACAGCCTCGGTCCTGGGTCTACAGCCTCGGTCCTGGGTCTACAGCCTCGGTCCTGGGTCTACAGCCTCGGTCCTGGGTCTACAGCCTCGGTCTTGGGTCTACAGCCTCGGTCCTGGGTCTACAGCCTCGGTCCTGGGTCTACAGCCTCGGTCCTGGATCTACAGCCTCGGTCCTGGGTCTACAGCCTCAGTCCTGGGTCTACAGCCTCAGTCCTGGGTCTACAGCCTCAGTCCTGGGTCTACAGCCTCAGTCCTGGGTCTACAGCCTCAGTCCTGGGTCTACAGCCTCGGTCCTGGATCTACAGCCTCGGTCCTGGGTCTACAGCCTCGGTCCTGGGTCTACAGCCTCGGTCCTGGGTCTACAGCCTCGGTCCTGGATCTACAGCCTCGGTCCTGGGTCTACAGCCTCGGTCCTGGGTCTACTGCCTCAGACTTTCACGAGAGAAGAATCCAACATTGCGGTGTCTACGTTGATGCCTGTGTGTACGTATGCTATCTTTTTTTTTTTAATACCGATTTAGTTTATTATTATTATTGTAACTTTTATTATCAATATTTTTTTTCAATTTCTTTATCATTCTATTTTTTACTTCTTTTTATATTTCTTAATATTATTATTTGTATGCAATATTTTCCTTTGCATTATAATTGCAAAAAGTATTTTTTTAAAAAGAATCCAACAATATACACTGAGGCAAAAAAGTGTTTTTAAAATATTATTTATTTAGTCCTCAGCCTCAAACAGATGAGAACTGTCTGTGAGAGTCACTAAACGCTCAGGTCTCTCTCTGCTCTGATTGGTCAGAACGCTCAGGTCTCTCTCTCTGCTCTGATTGGTCAGAACGCTCAGGTCTCTCTCTCTGCTCTGATTGGTCAGAACGCTCAGGTCTCTCTCTCTGCTCTGATTGGTCAGAACGCTCAGGTCTCTCTCTCTGCTCTGATTGGTCAGAACGCTCAGGTCTCTCTCTCTGCTCTGATTGGTCAGAACGCTCAGGTCTCTCTCTCTGCTCTGATTGGTCAGAACGCTCAGGTCTCTCTCTCTGCTCTGATTGGTCAGAACGC